GGACCCAATTATGGGTCATGAAGCACCTTGGATAATCTCCAGAAATCAATTTAAAGGGTAATAAAGTAATTGCTGGTGTAATATTTTCCCTATAATTATTACAGAAACACAAAATAAGTAAAAATAAGTATTTGTATTTGTGTACAAGCTGTTTAGATTGTCAAACAGCCTGTGTTTTTAGGATGATTAATGAAGTTCATGTACTCAGACCAGCAATATTTGGGGTCACAAGTTTTTGCCATGAATATTTTGTGGGTCAGAAGACAAAAAGTTTGGGAACCACTGACCTAAAAGACTCACCTCTCTATGAACATTTTTAAAATTTATTATAATAGAAATGCATTTTATTACAATCCAGCAAATCAGATAAAAACAAAGAAGAAAACCCCTTACTAAAAACCAATTTTTTGGACTTTAGAATAGGAAAATAATGCACACCACAATCAAAGATGGCTGAAAAATTCAAACTTCATTTTCTTGTCTTGAAAGTTGGCCAGCTGTCATGAGAAGAATTCAGCGAATTGAGAGAGATTTGGTTTTAAGATGTTCCCTGGATTTGTTCCTGTTTTAGGACCTTTTCATGTAACGTTACCTAACTTGACCTGTAATCCTTACGGGGACCAAAGTTTGATCCTAATATGATGGAACATAATTTCGGGGTGCAACCTGTGACTCTTTGGTCCCTCTGCAGTGGCTCTTTGACATGAAAGGCTAGCTTGAACAGTTTTTTATGTAAATTTGTTTGCAAATATGTGCTGAAAACTACTAATGCAAGAAGTGAAATGTGTTGATTAGATCATGCTAATAGTTTGCCACTTCAATAATCCAACTTCCAGCCTTCGTCTGATCTTTTTCTAAAATCCATCAGGATTTATTTAGAATACCTGTAAGCAGCTGAGAAGCAATATGTTGAGGTAAATAGATAATATGAGAAAATAAACACACCTGCATAGTTTAGTGTTTTAGTTTTTGTTAAATTTGGTATCATTTATTGCTTACACAAGTATGGTATTTTCATTTCCCCTAAAGTGTAAAATAATAAATATTAAATTTCACTATATACAGTATTTTTAGTTTTTTAAATATCACCCCCACTCGCTGGTAAAACAGCCCTTCAACAAACTTGAAATGGCCCATGGGCCACCAGTTGATAATCACAGTTTCAGCACATTCTGGACAGATTTAAAGCCAAGGAGAGAAAAATGTCTCTTTTGATTGTAAATGTTGCAGACCCCTGGGTTAGGGGGGTTAGGTTTAAGCACTGTGGTGGACTTGCGGTCTGCCCAGGTGTCTCCCACCTGGTGGTGGGCACCAGCTCCCTCGTGCCCTTGCATGGAAAAGCAGGTAAAAGAAAACGGATGGATGGTTAGGTTTATGGAAGTGAATAAAATGTCCTGATGACCCCAGCTCCCTTCTGAAATATGACAGGTTGCACGTCCATCACAGGCCTTTATTGTTCATGAACTGAATGTTGGACATCTTGTGACGATCTCCAGACATTAAAATTTTTTTTTTAAATAGCTTAGATTAAAGAAATGTAAACTATTTGACAGCATGGACTTTGACATGAAGTGGATGTGCTCCTGAATTCAGCTTAGACTTTATAATTTCTGTCTCTTAAAGCTGAGGTTAGATTGAAATGAGCTGTAGAAATAAGCTTTGCTTTATTTTTATTCTGAGTTGAAGTGGAGAGAAACGACAGGACAAGTCATGTGGTTTGACTTTTTTTAAAAAGACATTTTGAAACTCTCAAAATGAACCTAATCCAGTGCAGACGGGATCATCATAAAAGCTTTGGACTTAAAATATTACAAGGTGGCCCAGTTCTAGAAAAGTTAAAGTTTCTGTTGACGCCATGGTTTCTATCTTTTTGGTTAAAAATGCTCTCTGTTCTCACAGATGAGTTCAGTTTAAAACATCATTGTTGTCTGTTCCTGACGCTGTGATTCACTCTTAAAACATTGTGAGGAGTTAGGAAACATAACTCACTTCTAAACACATCATAAGCCTGTTTGGCTCACCTGAACATGACCTGACCTTTTCTTTTTAGGACATACATCCTTCTTTTTTGTTGTGACAATGAGGCAAAATGAAAAAAATTGAACAGTTTGAACGTTTTCACGGCTGTTATCATTTCTTTACTTTTCCTTTTGTATTTTTGGCCCATAGTTATACCAGTTGAACAGTCACACACAGTTTGCTAGATTTTTCCAAGGAAGATAAAAAAAAAACAGTGATTAAAGAAATTTGTTTTTACAAATATAACAGATTTTTTATTGACTTATTTGCTCGGACATGGAAGATTATTGATTAAAAAGAAGGAAAAAAATATTGATCAGCTAATCTCCTTTTTATTCAAAGTTTCTCTCTTATTTTAGCACTTTTAAGTACACGCTTATGGCAGCGAGGATGATTATTTGAATCATTTACTGGCTTTAACTTGATCCTGTAATCACGTTTTATTGTGTTTGTATATTCTGCATTGTTTTAAATGTCTGTGGCATTTAATTAACTGTGACAGCAATTTCATCTGCATAAATTTGTCGTTTTGTTCGACATTGTATCAGTCTTAATTGTAGTGTTTTTCGTAAACAATATGATATTCAAAACCTGAATGCATTAAGAAAACAGTACAGTTTTTTTTCACCACTTATTTAACATATTATTATTAAGTTACATACAAATAAACTCACAGTAGATGTAGAGGATGGTAAAACATGCAGAATAAACCAGATGTTTTGCCTTGTCTGATTATTTTTTTTTAAGAAATGTTTTTGATCTAAGAAAGTGGGGCACAAAGATAATCTTCTTTCTGGATTTCTCGTTTTGAAGAAATTGACATTGTCAGTTTTCAGTCAATGCAGACAGACTAAAAAGATTTTATTCTGTCTACAGAGGGAGCTGATGAATGATATGGACCCAACTGTAAAATCTCTTGGAATGCCACTGAAACGCACTAAAACCAGCCAGAGAGTTCAACCGAATGAGCACATAAATTATTGTGTCAGATGATTTTAGGCAGATTTAGGTTGGAGGCTGAGCAGAGTGAAGGTAGAGCGGAGTCTTCTGCATCGGTTTATAGTGTTTGATCTGCAGGAGGAGGTTTCAGTTTAAGTCTTTCAAAAATCTGATTTTTTTTGTTGCAAAAATCAGATTTTTTTTTGGTGTRGCTGTTCACATTATATTTTAAACGCAACTTCCATCAGACTCCAGTGTGAACTCTCCACAGGATTGATGTGACGTCACATTCAGCTGGCTGTTTTCAGAAGGAGCTAAACATTGAAGCTACTTGTTAGCATGTCGGTTCTGAAGTTGTTCGATCAGAGCCGATTAAATAATTATCTGACTTAGTTTAGTTAGATTCCGAATGCAAAGATGTTTCCAAAAGAGTTTTTAGTACAAACGGAAGACTGTAAAGGGAGTTTGTTTGAGTTGTTGTTTGG